ATGCGACTCCCAAGTCGTGTGAACCTAATGTCTTGATACAGGTGATCGAACACAGGACCTTAGGTGTCTTATGAGAATGCTTAACATCTAGACCATTAAAATGTAAGGTATTGTTGTAAAATTCGGGTTTTAATCAGTCCTCTACATCTCACAACCATCCTCTATTTTCTTTAATGTACACATTCCTCACACTCGATATCAGTAAACCTCGTAGCTTCCGGAAATTTTTTGTCGCAGCTAGCCACTAGTGAGAAAATGATGAGTGTCGGTAAAAGGGATGCAATGATTAATAAATTTGACTAAGATTGCGATCATAGTTTAAGCGTTCGCAAACGAAGCTGAAGGTCTTAGGTTCGGTCATAGGAGGTAGGACTATGGATGTTCACAACCGAGTAGTTCGATATAAGGAACAAATAACTTTCCAGTACTTACTACTATTTTATTAATTATCTCATTCATACTAACTTATAATTTCAATAAAATTCAATCTACAATCAATTTTCTTGCACTGGTCACTCCCAGATTCTAGTGACGCAATAAATAGATACCCCATTTGTTGTCTCCACTTAAACGATTTTTAATCAATACTTTTTTTTCTATCCTTCAACACATCCGAATTTACTACCCAACAACCTTGTCTGCAGTTCTTCAGGGTAATAATCAAAATAATTAAAGAAATAAACACCATTTGACAATCCAATCAAATCTATACTGTGCTAATTCAATCATATTAACATGTTGACCTTAGTAAACAAAATAACATGAATCAATTAAATGAGAATCATGTGAAAAGTTCACAATGTGTAAATAAATGACTGAACAAATTGTGTATGTATATATATATGTGTGTGTATATATTAGTAGTGTAAGACCGAATTATTAATGATTGATATTCGGTGTTAATGTGTATTTATATGAAGGAATAAATAAACAAAATAAAAGTGCAATTTGAAGGTTGAAAAAGAAAGAAGTTTCTGAATCATTGAAGTGCATATAAAATAAACGAATCACCAAATAAATAATTTTGTTGCCAAACTAATCCACATTAATTTCAGTCAGAATAACGATATATGTGAAATAAATAGGTTGGATTGAGTAGAGGTCGTAGTTGTACAAACTTAATTAACAGAAGTATTGATCTTGTTACAGATAGGGAAGATCAACAGGTTGAATTAAACAGATTATTGTCTACGCTTCTATAATTTGAATATTCAGCTTCAGTCCGGTTATCTCAGAATGATAAGCAAAATATTAGAAAAATCAATCCATAGACCGTTGCGGTTATCCCTCAAAATAATTAACGTTATTTAATTGAAATAGATATATTGGCTAAGATGGGAGATTAATTATATAAAAGATATGATATATAAAACTTGATTTGAATCATTTTCAACGAATCACATATAATTTCAGCGTCTTCTATGAAATTCTGATCCTAGTTTTCTAAAGGAAATGATTAAACAAAAGATAACATAGTATTCAAAACAAACCCATTCTAAATAATTGTTAAATTCTATTCATTGTTCAATTTTGTTCACGATAGGAACGCGAGTCAATTGATTTAAAATTTATCCAAAGGTGCACCCTCAAATGCCCTGGTATGGCCGGGGGTAGGAAGAGTCAACTCCCCTCTCGAAATACTCTCACACGGCCACTCATATACACCCACTGACACAAAAGTCCTACTCACTGACTTTTCTCAACTGGCGTTTCGTTTACGAAATTCAAAGGACGAAAGGCGAATGTACGGTGCTTTAACCGAGTTGGTGGACACGGAGAGTCCACCTAAGGGAGTTGGAAAACCCTGATTACAAACCAATGGTGTACATGGGCTCCAGTATATTGAAGGAATAAATGGCGTACGAATCAATCGTTGGTCATCGACTAATGTCGGACTGTATCTCCTTACATTGCTCCACTGCCTTGTCGATCAGATGTGTAGGTAGAAGGCTCTGAGTGTGGTCCCCTAACAAAACCACCTTGTTCTGTCTGGTCAAACGGGAAGTATCATAACCCATACACAAATCAAGTGACTCGTGTGGTGGACATGCATTCGGTGTCGTTTAATGCAAATATATTTGACTAATTAATTCAACGTCCGTCATTAGTGTCATCTATGTTATATGTTGTTTGGAAAGGAATAGACATTATGAGTGAAGTTAATCATTTATTAATAAATAATTGTCATGTTATTATTCGGTTCACATCAAAAATTTTAATCCAGGCAAATCAATTGATGAAGTAGTAAAACATCATCAGTTGAGATAGCTGGGCGATGTATTACGTATGCCCAACCACCGATTGCTCCGACGTGCGATGTTTTATGGTGTTGGAGTAGGTTGGAAAAATGCTAAGGGCGGCTAGACCAAATCATGGCACAAATTCATAAAGTCATTGACAAGTGGATTGAGTCATGTTGGTAGGTGTAAACTACCTGGTTGGGATCCGTGAGATGATAGCAACCGATGGTTAGAGACCTTGAATGACATGGCTCAAAATTGTTTGCAATGGCGAAGGTGCATATAGTCCTTGTGTTCTCCCAAATTCCATTCTTCTGAATTCTCCTTGTCACTTTTTTTCTCTTTCCAAATTTATTTCGCTGGATTATACTCCTTGAATAACATCTTCAAAACGTAATCTTTCTAATTACTACTTATACTCTTAATACCTCTACCACTACGGGACTTGAATCGACAACTGCATCTCTGTGCTATTGTGGCGTGGCAAGTGGAACTGATGTATGTACGTACGAAGTTCTACGTTGTTGCCGACTGACTGACTGACTGACTGATACGAGAATGCTGTGTGTGTCAAAAGTTTGAACTTTTCTACCCCTTGGAATTCAGTTTATTTGATTCATTATGCAATTCATTTCTCATGAAAACTGTTTTATTAATAAGGTCACTCTTAACTTGGTACTTTAAATCTGAAAAAAATTGACCTACAATAGTATAGAATTAATAAACATAACATTGTAAATAATTGTATATTATGGTTTCCTAATAGAATGTTTACTCTTAAACATGCTACTAACAGCTTAAGTACTTACAAGTAGTCGAATGACATGTTACATATATACTAAATATATTGTAGTGAAGGAGAATACAGGTAAGGACAATCGAATCATACTTAGCACGAGATTACAGAGTAACTTAGTGAAATAGAAAAACCATACTTTAATGATTAATTTACAAAATGTTCATTAATTGTCTGAGACTTCATTGTTCCTGCATTCCCATACCAATTGTTTTCTGTTTCCGTTCTTTCCTCCACGATCTTCTTAACCTTCTGTTGTCAGACATTCTATTCCTACTTATGTCACTATAAGTAGCACACATTACAATATGACTTATCGAAACTAGTGTGATTGTTTTCGCAATAAATGATCTATCATTAAAAAAACCAACAACAGAACACACAGAAAACTAAATGGAAATAATCAATATAAGAAATTATATAATCACATGACCTAAGTATTTAGAAGCTGTTTGAAATCATGAAACTACAGTATTGTAATGAGCTTGGATGGATGATGACTAGTTGTGGAATCCAGTTTATTGCGCGTTTCGTCCTATTTGGGACTGATCAGCTGGATGTACCTGCATTTGCGAGTTGATGTTCACTCCGGAACTGATCAATTACAGTCCTAAACTTTATCTCATTGCACAAACAAGTGGTTATCAGGAATCAGTAGCTAAGTAAATAACGACATGGCGAACGGTACTGATTTCGAATCCCTGAGTGAACACCAACTTTCGGATGCAGGTACATCCAGCTAACCAGTTCCAGTTAGGACGAAACACGCATCAAACTGGATCCAACTGCTAGCCACCATCCATCGTTGTCATCAGTAATTTATACAGACATTAATGTTAACTTTTTAATATGATGCCCGAAGATTATGCCTAAAAGTTAATTTCCTCCAATGCCTATAAAATTTTATCATATTTGAACTTGTGTTCGTAACCTTCATCATTTTAAGTGAAACTATAATTTATGGACAACTTGTGAGCGACGCTAGAGTAACCTTGAGAGTGTTCACCTAATAACTAGGACCAAATAAGGGTTATTAACCAGTGTGAGGAATTAGAATTATGATTTACAGTTGATGGTTAAGGTTAGGAGTTAGATTTATGGTTTTCGTCACGAACTAACACCAGCTAAAATGCCAAAACTTTATTTACCCAAATAGATGACTGAATTTTAAGCCATAATCCAAGACGTGTTATTTTATATCTGATTGGTTCGTCCATAAATTATAGTCTCGCCTGATTAGACTGTATATGCAACCAATTATTATAATGAGTGCATTGGTTTTATGTGGTAAAATGTAATGGGAAAGATTGGAGAACACATATTATCGGTTATTCAATTACATAGTACACACTGGTCAAAAGACTTCTTTGTGTTTCACCGCATCGATTTCAGTGTTTTATAACAGACATAATATCAACTACAACTTAATATTCAGGTAACAATCCGTGCCCTCAGCTAACGTAGTGTATGTTATGGTTATTGATATTAGATAACATCAAATACCATAATCTAAGGAGTGAGTTTCAGATGTTTAACATTATGGTCCACACTTGAGAATAGTACTCATTAAGTTATAACTAAGAATGTGATTCACAGTTACTATCTACTTGCTATGAACTCAGTCTCTAATTACCAATTCATGTGCTTAGTCATTGACCTAATAGACATTTACAGACACGTATGATTTTAGTTAAATTTACTATATATACTATCCTTGATAAATATACTGATCGGTAATTCACTGTAACATTCAATATTGACATTTGGCAATCTGCCATAGTAGCGGTGTAGACTGAATAACCTTAGAACTATGTTCCAATAAGCCTATAGTAAATTAGGAATAAATTGTAGCGAAGCTTGAAATGAAACCAATTTAACTTGTTACATTTATTACCTAACATACTCTAATCATCCTTTTATTTATCATCTTTTGTATTTACATTGAACTATATCATAAAGGTTTAACGTGGTTGAAATTTACATTATGATTGCGCAACGTGATAAATGGACTCTTAGAATTAAAGCCATTTGCTCTATGCTTATTGCCCTTTTAATTATATGGTTGATCAACATCTCACCAAGTTTACTCTATCATGGTATATACAATAAAAGTTACACCTTATCAGAGAATATGGAACTGATTCGTGGAAATATATTTGCTTCAAACTCTTCAGAGTTCAAACTGGCTATGACATTGCACGAAATGTATTCAACAATTAATGAAACTTCCATTCAAAATCACTCTCTGAGATTTGATGTAGAAGAAAACAGACTGAAGAGATTATATGATTCATTAAGTAAAAATAATTCAGTAAGTTAACCATTCAAATAAAAAAATAAAAATTTGTTTTGATTATAAATAGATTGGTACTATTTCTATTTATTCAGTTTTTTGAATATGCTGTTGTATTTAAGATGGTAGAGAAGATTTGTAACTCAAGTGAATGATTTGGGTAAAGTTTTGTTCTCTGAGCTGGATGGTTTGGTCGTGAAGCTTTCATTGTTCTTCTGAACAACATCATCAGTACAAATTTCAGGTAGAAGTGAAGTGTTCGAATTTCTCCACATATGACTCATAGATTGTGCTGTCGAACTCGATCTTGATTTATTGTTGTTGACGTTTAACTTGTCATTGTCTACTTTAATTTCGTTGTATCTCCCATTAATTTGATTCTTGTTCCTATATTTGTCCATGATTATTCTGATTGGTCAATAGTTTTGATCGATTTCAATTTGTTTGTTGATTGCTGATTGAACTGAGTATTAAGCTTCTAAAAACTCTCGGGTACTTTCAGAATTCTCTCTCTCCAATATATCAACGTTTTTCCAATCGAATGTGTGTCCACAGTTGCTCACATGGATTGTTATAACTGAGGTTATATCATGGCGTTTGACCGCTAATTGATCTTTGTTCAGGTGATGATGTATTATGATATACTAAGATTTGTGACTCGAGAAGTTTGGTGATATAACGGCGTACATGTGGAATTCGTTTTTTGATTTTTATTTTCACTAAGTCTTGAATGCATTTTGCTGAGATGGATGCAAATCATCTCGACAAAGTTCAGAGGATTTCCTTTAACCTGGCTGGTCGATATGGAAGATCAATATATGGGAGTTGGAAGACCCTGATTACACAAACCAATGGTGTACATGGGCTCCAGGATCCTAGGGAAATAAATGGCGTATGAACCAATTATCGGTCACCAACGAATATGGGACTGCATTTCCTGACGCTGCTCCACTGCTTTGTGAATCAGGCATTTACAATAAATGCTGTAATTACAAAAAATGTAAGAGTATGTCAATTTTAGTCACAGAAGTAAAATCAATGCTTCAATTTAAGGAAGATGTATTTAACGTTTATCAGTACATTGAAGGAATACATGCTCAAACAATTAAATCCGGAATCCAGCTCAAAAATTATAGATATATTTTTAATATGATAACTGATACATTTACTACAGCAATAAGAAGCGATTTTGTGTTAGAAGAGATCACGAAACTCTTTAATAAAATAAACTCTACTCAATGTTCAAATGTTCTTTTATCAGATTCCACACATTCTAAGTATCGAATCCCATCAATTGAAATTGAAAATCATTATGACATAAATATTTCAAATGAATCAATTACTGATCAAATTTCTTATGACGTCATATAGGATGCTGATTATCGTAATGATTCATCAATTTCTAGTGAATCTAATGATATCATATTTTACGTTGCTTATTCTCACAATGTATTTGTTTCTAATAAAGACGTTGGCCAATGTGAAATGCGGATATAACACAAATATATGAAAATGTTTATTAAATACTAATGCGATTAAATGATAATGGTCTTTATAGGTTTATTATGTAACTTCAAGAAAATGGTTGATTTCTTACTACATTTTGGCGTATTTTTCAGCGATATTTCTCTTATATTCAAACTGAAACTACCTTCAGAACTACTGAAACTCCCAACTTGATTAACAGTGATTTCAACTCTTAATTTCAATACTCCATCTAAGATTATCAATAAGTTACTATTTCCATTCCAATTGTTTAACATCACAATTCAAGATATCTTAACATACTTTAGAGAAACATACGTAATTATCAGTCAGCTACAACGTTGCTGCTACCTTGATGTGGTGGTCGGGCTTGCCTATCTTGATAAACCAACCTAGTTATACTGGTTGAAACAATCGTTTCTCAAGGCCTTACGATGCCAGACAGGTCGGTTGAAGAGCGAATTCGTACTGTTGACTGTACAGAGTTGTAATGGCGGTAATGTGTTTCCTTCAGACAACTAGCATAATGGTGATGCTGCCTTCCTACAAGGAAGGGTGGGGTTGGAAAAGATCCACCCTAAAAATGCACAACTCGCCTTATCCCATGGATATCCGTCTCCGGTGTTAAGGTCTCAAAAAGTACGGAGCTAGCACGAAAATTACTCACAAAAAGGTCGTGTGTGACCGACCTCAAGCAATTGTCCCTTGGGCACTGTGGTCTTACTCTCAAGTCGCTAAGACCACGTCTAACCCAATTTCTTTTCCAGGTATCTCTGAAAAAACCCTTCCACGGTGTGGGCAACGGGGGAGTTTAAACCACCTTCATATATCTAACAGTACTCAAGATAATTGTATTCACAATCAAAGTAACTTTCATTGGAGGATATTAGTTGAAACAGTAGAAAAAACAACCACGTTTACATTGTAATAGGAATATTTTAGTAATGTATAAAATCCAACCAACATCTTTGTAATATATAAAGAAATATTTAGGCAGTAAATTTAAACTGAACTCGTCTGAATGCAGTCTTAGTGACTGAACTACGACTGAGATAGATGTACTTCAGGAATATATTTGATTGATGAAAGTAATATTATGTATACATCAGTAGTAGGATGTTCATTCACTATCCTTTGAAATACTTAATACTTTTGACAATATAGACATAAATCACACACTACTTTTTTCTTTATGCATATTAGGTGAAAACTTTTCTCAGTTATGGATCTCAGAAAATTTATACACCAATGAAATTTTCTAAATGTTATGCTTCAAAATGTACACTTATTACTGGAATGGAAAAATGGCGTGAAGCTGATGCACTTATTTTAACAAAAGATGAACAACCAAATGGAATTCGACCAAATGGACAATTATGGTTTAGTTTAACGCATGAATCTCCTAAACATATATCATTGGCAAACACATTAGAAAATGAAGTAAGACATATTGTACAACCTATAATATATAATAACTAGAAAGTAATAATAGTATAGTGATTCAGTTTATAGATAATGATTCTTAAAATAGTTTAGAAACACTTCATTATTACAAATTAAACTAATAGTGGATGCGCACTGCTGAGTAGTCCCACAATAGGACGAAACGGCCGTCTAGTGCTTCCAGGTTCTCAATAGTGGTCTAACAACAATCGGTTCATGATCTCAATCAAAAACTTGACAATCTCTACAACCCCTAAACTGATAACAATTTGTATTAGTTTAATTTATTAATAGAAATAGGAAAAACTCTATTGAAACCTATTTCATTGACCATCAAATATTCTTCTTATATACATGTTTATGTATTGACTTGTATACATTCTATGATGGCTTATTTTATTCAATTGATTTACGGTGAATGTTTCAATAATCTAATAAAGAAATATGAAATTGACAACAGATCTGTTCAGGAAATTAAGATCTACTCTTTATTGTTATGAAAGTTATCAGTATGAACAAGATATAATAGTGTTCACTCATACCAATGCATCCCATCCCTTATTAGGCACCATAATTAAGTACCATTAAGTAAATTCAAATGAATTAACTCTTAATTTTGAGTTATCTAATTGATTTCAATTACTAAGAATAAATCACTAATTCATGTTGATTTCCGTCATAATCATGAATGTATCAGGAGAATATATAGAATATCAGCAAAATAATTTCTAATCAACACTACTTATATGTGTTCTATCAATACATTAGATTGGTAAATTATGTGAAGGCTCCAAAAACATTTGAAGTGATTTCATTCTTCAACATGAATGGTTAAATCCTTAAAATATTTGATTGTTTTTCTTGACTACATCATCAGAACATACTTTAAGGTAAGTGACTACTTAGTATTTCTTCATCATTGACTAATTGCTTGTACTGTTGAATTCAATTGATTGTTATCCATAGGTATGTAATTGTTGTTTTCATGTCTGATCTGATCATTAACCTTATAGTTATTTATCGTTCTCCTTACTGATTGATAGACTGATTCGATTTCGATATGTCTGTTAATAGATACGTTATCCGAATGACAAGCTTATGAATGAATTTGTATAACAAGTAGCAATGAATATAGAAGGATATACTATCACTTTAAACACCTGATGAATATTAATTAAATCCCAACCAATTACAAATTCAAACAACTACAAACAAGTACGAATTCGTACTTTTGTCATTTTACTTCACTTTTTCAGCGTGGATGCTAATACTTTGTTTACTAGATCAAATCGAATGGATTATGATCTGAATCTGTGACTTCGTGTGTTTTGATTTTTGGCTATAACACTAATAACTCAGTCAGAACAATATATATATATGTTTCTTAAATTGTTCTCGAAGTTCTAAATTTTCTCTTCTTCTCATTGTACTATCGCTGTTAACAATAACTGATACAGAATTCACATCCATTTTGATGGAGTTTTGTTCTCTGAGCTGGATGGTTTGGTGAACCCAATAAGAGACACAACCAAACCAATGAAGTAAACAGTAACAGGTTAAAGGTCAACAACAATAAATCAAGATCGAGTTCGACAGCACAATCTATGAGTCATATGTGGAGAAATTCGAACACTTCACTTCTACCTGAAATTTGTACTGATGATGTTGTTCAGAAGAACAATGAAAGCTTCACGACCAAACCATCCAGCTCAGAGAACAAAACTTTACCCAAATCATTCACTTGAGCTACAAATCTTCTCCATCATCTCATTCACATTCATTGTTCTAGTTTTTACAGAAACAAAACGGATTGTTTTATAAAATCATAAACTGAGATCGATCTAATTCAGATACTCTCATTTTAAAACTAAACATAGACTTACAATAGTTTTTTTCTTTGATTTGGTTACATAGTGTTATTTCACAGTTTCAGTGTCCATAGTTTACTTGATAATGTAATTGTGACATTTTCAGCAACAATGTTTATAATCCTGGCTAAAAGTAATCACATTATTTAACATTGCTTACTGATTCTACAACTCCAGAATTTGTAGGTGACATTGTGATTGATTTACAAAGAGTTGTAGAGATTGTCAAGTTTGCAGGTTAACATCACAGATTGATTTCAGCCAGACGCCTTGAAAATGGTTAATAATCATCATTTTCTTACAATTAACACCAATACGTGATTCATTGGGTTCTTGTAGGAATGACTGGAGTTAAACCATGTTGGGAGCGAAGCAAATGTTACAATTAACAACAGATGATCACCTCGCGATTTGTTTGATTAGCTGAAGTTAGAAATGCAAACTAATGAAATGAAACTCAGTGGTTTGAATAATAAATGATCTCTTAGAGGCCGGAAGGTCATCGGTTTGATCTTTGGTCTGGTCGCGGATACATACTACTGTGAAGTTACATACAAGGAGTAAATAAATGTTGAATGTCTGCTTATTTTCATTTCTTGTCTAACTATAGTAAGTCATATGTGTGAATCTGTACATTTTGTTCCTAAAAGTCTATAAGAATTGTACTTTGCTTTAGTGTTTTTTGTCGACAAATCATTTTCTAACAATGATTCGGTTCCAAACGTTATTAATTTATCATTGGATCAAATATAATATCATGAATTAGCAATAATAATCATTGTCTACTACAGTGCACCAACCGATTGGTAAATCTATATATTACTATCCGTTGTTTGTATAGCAACGAAAACTTTATGCGTGCTATACTTGTTTTCGTATGAAATGTAAACGAATACTGATACTGTAATGTGCTCATTTTACTCAGATTTCTCCACTTTTCATTAGAGTTGTAGAAAATCCTCACTTTGAAATGTTAGGGATTTGTATCAGCCAGATCATTCCTTCTCATCGGCGTGTAATCTGTACTAATTTTCAGAATACATTATTATTATTATTATTATTATTATTATTATTATTATTATTTAATACGTATGTCATAAGACACTTTTATCAAACATTGTTACTGATATTTAGGTTAACTTTACCATATCCTTTCGTTTGGATTCAACGATTTATTCACCATACGGTTATTATGAACCATATTCAAAGTATCATGGACCAAAAACACGATATCCTCTGTCTTCTCGAAATTTTGCTGCTGGTAAATCGAAAAAAATAGCATGGTTTGTGAGTAACTGTGCAGCCAAAAGTCCTAGATTACAGTACGCTGAGGAACTTTCAAAATATATCTCAGTGAGTGCCATGAAATTTAACTTGGAATAACACGAACGTTCTAGTTTGTTTATTGAAATTTGTAGATACATTTAGTTTTGTAAACAATAATGATTTATTCACACAGACAGTGAATGTTTGAGAAGTGAATTCAAAATGATAAAAGGATACCAAATACACACAGTGCATTCAAATACATGAGACATGAAAATGCACTGGTCAATTTTTTAAATATTAGTTACTAAATATTGACTTAGAATCGTGGATGCGCACTGCTGAGGAGTCCTATACTAGGATGAAACGGCCGTTGAGTGCTTCCACGTTTTCCATGGTAGTCTAACTTCAATTGACTCATGATTTCAACCAGTGAAATTTCTAAAATCTCCACCGAACCCCTTCTAAAAATATGAACAGTTTAAATATTAAACGAACATTTCTACTAATGAAAGTTATCATGAATAATCCCTCTATTTATTAATATCAAAGAACTTAGATATCAACACTGTCAAACACTGGCTCAGTGATCTAGAGGCTAAGTGTTCATACGTTGGACCTTAGGTTTTTGGTTCGAGTCCGGCATGCGGGATCGTGGATGTGCACTGCTCATCAGTCCCATACTAGGATGAAACGACCGTCCATTGCTTCCAGGTTTTCAATGATGATCTAACTTAGATCGGCTCGTGAATTCAACTGTTAAAATTATTACAATCTCCATAAAACCTCCATTCTAATAATATCATAGAAGTTTAGACTAATTCAATATAATAATAAGAAGAAAAAACTCAATAAGAAAGAATGAATATTTTAAATTAGAAAATAATAGGCCACATTCATCTAGGGTATATAGTTGAGATGTAAGTTTAATGTATATATATATTATTGATTATTCCGACCTATTATATAGGAAATTAAACTGGGCACATTTGAAAACCATAGTGATTAACAATAAGAATATAAACAAATCAAGGTCAAGGTAAATAGTTTATATGCGTGAAGAAAAGAAAAGAAAAGAAAATTCATTTAATAATTTATTAACCTTTAGAGATACATTAGGAATTGGTCAAGTAAAATAAACTAACATATCAATTTCTAATTTATTCATAAAACAAATATCATTATGAAAGGGAGTCTTTCAATTTTATTCTCTGTTTGTTTTATGATTATAGGTAAATTTTAAAATAAATTAATACTGATAATTATCATGTGCTCACTAGTGACTAGCTTCGTGAGAGAATTCTCGGAGTTCTAGTGAGAAGCCATGACCAGTGGAGCTAATCTGTGATGAGTAAAGACAGGTATCTACCTCAGTACAATGGATGATGGTTGAGGTTAGACATTAACACCATTGGATGCCGGCCGACTCAGTGATCCAGTAGGTTAAGCGTTCTCGCGTGATACTGAAGGCCCTGGGTTCGAATCCATCAGGCGGGATCGTGGATGCTCAATTTCGAGGAGTTCCCAAATGGGACGAAACGGCCGTTCAGAGCTTCCAGATTTTCAATGGTGGTTTAACATCAATCGGTTCATGATCTCCACAACCCTTATACTGAAAATTAATATAACTAAATGAGTTTGTAGGTATCATTACCAAGGTTTGATTTGATAATTTCGAATAAATTGAGCATTTGGTTGATTGTTCTAAATAAATAATATATTTGTAATATCCCAATGAGTAGAAAATTAGATTTTCTGACGTTTCGTGACTTAGTGTAAGTCACTTCTTCAGTGAATACATAACCAAATTAAAATTATCCAAGTTTAATTTGGTTATTTATTCTCTGAAGAAGTGACTTACACTAATTCACGAAACGTCAGAAAATCTAATTTTCTACTCATTAGAATATTACAAATATATCATTTATTTAATATAACTAAAGTTAACTAGCTAGTTGGAATCAGATTAAGCAATATAGAGTTGTCTTATTTTATGTAGACCAATCAGTCATCTATTACAAAACGTTAATTTGATACACATGGCTCCGTTGATTATCTTAAAGAGAGCAAGAACGAAGATTTTTGCAGAATAATATGAATTCAATAATTGAACTCATGAGTCAGTTGAAGCTAGATCACCATGGAAAACCTGGAGGTACTGGACGGCCGTTTCGTCCTAATGTGGGACTCATCAGCAATTGGCATCCATGATCACGCCCAGAACCTATCGGTCTCGCGCGCGAACACTTAACCTCTAGACCGCTGAGCTGGCTGGCATCCAACGGTGTTAAAGTTTAACTTCAACCAATCCACGAATTTGAATGACACACCCACTATTGTCATCAATGAGTTACTATCTCACAACACACCCGGTTAAACTCCCCTAATCACTGCTTCTGACTAGAACTCTAAGAAATACCTCTTGAAGCCAGTCACTAGTGTATCATGATATAGTGAAGATTTCAATCGAGATAATTACGTCATTAAAAAAATGTTTGTTTCAGATAAATAAACAAAGTTTGAGAGCGAAAGTTCCAAAACATTATAATAGTGATTAGAACTCAGAGTTAACAAACATTAGATGATTATGTAATGAAGCAACTGAAAACAGACTAATGGTAATAAAGATAGATATGAACTGAAGAAAAATGTCAATCATGTAATCACACTCTAGAAAGAGTTGAAATAATGAATGATACAATAAAAATAATGTAATGTTACCGGGGTAAAGAAAGATTTTTTACTGTCTATTTCTGGATACATAGATCTGGTTTTAGACGTTTGATCGCTATCGTTTCGGTAAATTTCAGAAGATTGGAATTTCATCGTTTATTAATCACCTTGACTGACTTCAGTGTATCGATTTGATGTCCTCTATTAAGGAGACATTTTGATATGGCTCTGTTGAATGCTTTTAATGCATTTGACCTTAAACTTTTCGTAATATGTTCTTTAAGTCGAACGTAAGCTGTTCTTTCTGTTCTACCAATGTAACCGCTTTGGCAGATACATGTAAATTTGTTGGTAATATGAAAAGGATACCTATCAAACTCTGATTGTGTTAAAGAACATGTTGTTTTGGACAAGACAGTCAGTTTAGCTGCAGGATAAATTCTTGTCAATGAAGGTTTTATTCCCAAACTGATTGATCCTGTGACATCATCAACATTGAATTTAAGTTCAATAAAATTAGGTTTTTTGTTTACTGTAGTCTCTTTCGTTTTTTTTTCTATCTTCACGTTTAGCATATTTTTCAACAAGCTTCACTGGGTATACGTTGTTCTTTAAACATCTTTTCACATTTATTAGTTCCTCTTCTAGTGTATCAGAATTACATAAACATTTAGTCCTGTGAAATAATGTTTTAACAAGTGCCTTTTTATAACTGATTGGATAAAATTGTCATACAGTTGTCATTTATGATATTGTAGTTTAAAACATATTGGATGGTCTTAGTATATCATTTGAATTATTTTATTTTTGTACAGCTCTTCTTAGTTTCTGAGTCACGATCTCTTCAGTAGTATCATTTATGTATTATAATTTTATGAATAGTACTTTCTTAAGGACCGTGGGTATCTTTGCCTTTGGTTTCATCTCCATTTTGTGTTTGTCAATGAATTTCAAAGGGTACCCATTCGTACTAAGTATGTTCCGAATTTTAGCCAATTCTTCTTCAATGGTGTCTTCCAAGCAAATCCTTCTGGCACGATGGGTCAAGATCTTTATCAAGTTCCTTTTGTATCTGATTGGAACTGCATTGTGCAAAATGGGTGTATTGTCCTGTTGCCGACTTTTTGTGTAACCCTCTTTTTAACGTTCTATCTGCTCGTCTAGTTAGTTGGACATGTAAAAACGATATGCTATCGTTTTGTTTATCTTCTGATGCAAAATTAATAGATGGATGATCGTTATTAAATGTATTAAGTAAATTGTCTTTATTATGCTCTTTTTCTAACACTATGAAGGTATCGTCTATGTAGCGATAATAAGTTGGTAAATGGCTAATAGTGCTTTTAAGTGATCCATTTTCCAGTTTTGCAAGGAAAATGTCCGCCAGTAGAGGGCCCAATGGTGACCCCATGGCAACCCCATCTAGTTGTTTATTATATTCGTTGTCGAATCTGAATTGTACATTCATTGTGTATTTAAGGATTAACTGTTTTAATGCGGATGTGGGGATTGCGGTTTCAATGTGCCTCACTGTTATTTCTTTGCAAATAAAGTCTACCGTTTCAAGCAGTGGAATGTCAGTGAATAGGGATGATACATCAAGTGACATCATGAAATTATTCTTGACCGATAGATTTTTTATATTCTCTACAAATTCAAAAGAATCCTTGACACTATACTTGACAATTTCTTTATGTAATAGTTTGAGAATTTGCACCAACTATTTTGCTATAGTATGATACGCTGAGTTATTGATATCTAAAACTGGTCGAAGGGGCAAGCCACTTTTGTGTATTTTTGGCAGGTCATATAACCTTGATGTAATCGTTCCTGTAGGTTTTAACATTTCAAACTCTTTTTTTGAAATAAATCCTTGTTGTTTAATTTCTTCCAGTGAATTTGTTAATTGTTTTTTAATCTTGTCTATTATGTTGTTCTACACAACCAGTTTCTGAAATTTGTAGTTTAAAACATATTCAATAGTCTTAGTATATCATTTGAATTATTTTATTTACAGGTTGATATATATGGTAAGTGTGGTACTAAAATATGTCCTAGAAATTTGGTCAATGATCCCTTAATGCCTGACTGTTTTAAATTAATTCGTCAAAACTACAAATTTTACCTGAGCTTTGAAAATAGTTTATGCAGTTGGTATATAACTGAGAAGCTTTTTAAGAATGCATTAAAGTAAGTGATTAGACAAAGGTGTAATGATTATAATAATAAAGTTTAATATATATGTTCATGTAATAAAATAATCAATTAATTATAATAATAGTGTAGTGAACAGGAACACCAATAAGGATGAAGAAATTACAGAACTTGTTAATAAAATGTAACAGACATATATGAAATGATCAATTTGCAAAATGTCCATCAATAGTCTCAAAATGACTCAGATTATATTATTCTTGCATTTTCATACAAATTACATTGTGTCTTCATTTTTTATTGCTTTATCTTCTTGTTTCTGTGTTGCCGGATATTCTGTTTACGACAAACATTATATACTACTTGTGTCTACATAAGTAGAACACATTTTGTGTGACCATTTATTTTGTCGTTATTTAGATCGGACGATTTTGTCGAAGGGCTCTCCACTTTAGTAGCCCGTGATCTGACTCCATGTAGATCGCATGAATGATTGTTATTGAAATATATATGTCGCTTATCCTCGTATATAATCATCGACTTAAAACGCGTTAGTTAATAACGGAATTAAATATGTCAAATAACGAGAATGGAGGTTTGAATGCATATATTTTGTATAATCGTTGATCAGACAAACAAACGAGGGAACGATGCGAAGAGGAGAAAGCGAAGCAAAATTGACGTGAGGTGGAGATGGCTGCTAAGCCAAGCGTTAGTCAATATTTATAGTTACACAAAACTAAGTTACAGACATGTGATGAATAGGATAAGAAGTGAACATACACCTACGCGCTCATATAAAAACAGTCAAGATTGCTAAGCGAATAATTAACAAGGTTAGAATGTGACTGAAGTAGAATGAATAGAATGGGCTGTCTGAAGGCTAGAATAAGGTATTTGGCCTTGAAATAATATCAGACACCACACACACACACCACAATGGTACTCTTTCAGTACTGCTAATTCTATGTGTATATCAAACTATCAATCAGGGTATTATTACAGTGAATTATTATGAAGAAAAAGACAATATCCCTAAATAAACTGCTGTTGGATAATGAAGTATAGGTATTAATTATTTATCAGATTAATTCAATGAGTAATTATGTATGTGGCTGAAAAATCAGGAACTATTAAACAGTTGATTTATGCTAATGTGCGACTTTGAAGCAGTGTATCTACAAGATCTCACCGCCACAGGTGATCGAACCCAGGACTCTCATGTCCCTCTACGAGCGCTTAATCTTTAGAGTACTAGTACTTAACGGTCAACTTGTCGAATTTCAAACAACTCGTGATATTGTGTAATCATCTTTCATTATCTTTGGCAAGTAACCATTTCAAACCAAACATGGTTGAATTTCACTAAAGCTCAGGGAAATATCTCAATAGATTAGTCACTGATGAGCACATATTAATGAGAAATATCAATATCACTGTTTGAAATTATAAATAAACATAATTTTTTTTACTGTTAAGACATTTTATTATGCATTTTTCTCTAGCTAACTTACAAGTGATACTTAATTTCAGTATAAAGATCCAATAAAGAGATAATTGATTTAATCATAGAATCTGTTTTGTTTGCGAATTCATTTCCAATAATTTTTACCAGTATATACTTGTGAAAATTGTTGAGTTATTGATTGAGATCATGTATCGATCAATGTTAGACCGTCATTGTAATCCAGGAAGCATTAGACAGTCGCTTCGTTCTTTTCATCAGTGTGCATCCACGATCCCGCACATGGGACTCGAACCCAGGAACTTCGGTCTCACGCGTGAACTCTTAACCTGCAAACCATTGAGCCGGTATCCAACTATGTTAATGTCTAACTTCAACCGATCCACGAAATTTAACATTAATAAATATATTTTATTATAGAACAGAACAAAGTAGAATCACTTTTGTAAATGAATGAATGAAATATGGAGCGAAAATTGAGAAAAAATAAATAAACTAAATAAAACTATAAACTAATTTTGCGACATAGAGAAGGATGTAACGCATTGTTTTATACAAATAATTCAGGCTTTGATTTATGATTACCTGAATCTCCTGTAATATAGAGTAGTTTTAATTGTACAACTCTTGTCATCTCCAAATGGATGTTGTAAATGGTGTCAGAAGATGGAAATCCATGTCATATTTCTACTACACATTACAAAATGTACGATTTAATTGTTGTCTTTAGCTAACCTATAGTAATATGTACTTGGGAATACATTGAACAAGTGGGTTCAATAAAGTACTTGATTATACGTTCGTACAATAAACCAATTATTCGCGATCATTACTTCAAAACAATATATAATATTACTTCTATCAATTTTTATCTGCTTCCTGAATATAGTTTAACGTTCCGTATGTCTAGAAGTTTTGTCATGAGAGACCCAAGAAGAATCGATCTTTAATGTCATCAAAAGATATTTTTATGCATAAAATACTAACACACTGTAAATGTGATGAAATAGCATAGGCGATTAGAGGAAATTATTTTGCAGTTCATCACTATTCAGCCATCAAAACATTGTTGTCAGGCCTGATCGTATCTCCTTGTGTAGGATATTTTTGTGACAATACTGATACAATGTGATACTTTGGGTTTACTTCATATATTCACAAATTTTATCGAATGTGTTACTACTATTTCCTTCTGAAATTTCAACCACGTTACAGACATGAAGTGTAAGATAATTCGCTTCACCTCTTGCCTGCTATTTTAGTTGAGCATTGGGTCTACGGTTTAATTGATAAAGCCATGAGCAACTGAAGTATTCATGTCCTATAACTGAAATCACCAATGGTTTTTATAAGATAACTGTATGTGTAGCTGGTGGGGATTGATTTAGCATATATATCGTAAAGTCACTTGAAAGTCGTTTGACCGAAATTGAAGTTTCTGGTCATGAAATTGGAGACCTTTTTTGCAAATTCTGACTGAGTTCTAATTGGCTATGACTTCAACGCTCTCCATAGACTTTGTTATGTATATATCATTGACTTAGGCCACTACATTATTGCATGAACATTGATCTCCATCCATAACTAATCATTCCCACTGTACTGTATTTCACTCTGATACAATACCGGATGATTAGTGTCCAGATTTTTAATTCATTGAAAAGTATTTTAATATTTTCTATCTAGGACATCAATAACTGCATACAGAATAAATTCCATTGATCTGTATGAATTGATATTTTGGCTGTCAATTTTGATCCGTAAGTCGCTGATATGGGAAAGGTTTCCAATGAACGAATCTTTGATTGTCGAGATCAGTGAGTAAACTCCTGGTCGACGAATGACCGCAGTGAAACGATGTAGCCGAGTGATGTCTTCTAAAGATGCCATATTATTATTCATTTAAACCCTAGAATGATTTTAAACCAAAGATAAGACGACTATTCAGAAGAACGAAATTCTTAAGAAATAAGAAGTGATGCACTTAACTTGTAGACCACTAACTCTTCAACCAATATCGACCATAATGTCAGGCCCAACTTTTCGTCCCCATATCACTTATATAAGTGGGTTCACAGGAGGGGTATAACATGATAAATGAGATTTGAACTGGTAAGGTTTAATAGCTTATTTTTCGGCTAGTCTGATCAATAGGATTTGGCATTTAACAAACAACCTGATTAGTTGGACCCTAGTGGTTTATGTAATCTTCAGACCTTTTTAAGAAAAGGTTATATGTTTCATAACTTTTATGTGACATTTTCTTTATCAGTGTGCTAATATCATGAATCCTATTTTCTACTGAATATGCAGTTTGTTGTTGTTGAATAAACTGTAAATTGATGTTTAGATAAATGTTTGACGGATTATCACACTTTTATTCATTTCAAGAAACGATATACTTCCAATTGTGATGGGTGCCTCGATCGAGGAATATGAAAGAGTCGCTCCTCCATACTCGTTCATTCACGTTGATCAATTCGAATCACCAGCTAAACTGGCAGAATATTTGAAGTATTTGGACAAGAACGATACTGCATATAATGAATATTTTGCATGGCATGGTCATGGGATCATACATGATTGGGACTCACAACCTCAATGTGCAATGTGTCTGCTAGCTCATACATCTCATGCGTTTGGTCCATATTGGGTTCCGAGAGTGGCGCGATGGTGGAATGATGGATGTAATGATCGGAAATTGCGTTGGAATCCATGAATTGTGAATATTGACAATATTAAGACAGTTGCTCTGTACTTCTTTTAAGAGTGTAACATTCCTAAATCTTCTGCTTCCTCTCCATAGTGATTTTGCTACGTGTTCGATTTTTACACTTGTTAGTAACCTTGAACTGAATCAACCTGTGAATAAAATAATATATTTGTAATTCAAAACTATCAAGTCAAACTTTTGTAACTGATACCTACTGGATCAAACTGTATTTAAACTTGATCCTGTAAATAAACTCTTTACATAATCGATCATTATTTCGTCTAGTTATTTTTATGTATTTAACAGCAAATAGTTCCAGAATTTGCCAAATGAATGATTATGAAGCTAAAGGCAGAGAAGATTTATAGCTCAAGTGGATAGTTTTGGTGGAGTTTTGTCCTCTGAGCTAGATGGTCTGGTCTCGGAACTTTCATCGGTCTTCTGAACGATACCATCAGCACAAACTTCAGATAGAAGTGAAGCGTTCAAGATCTAAACTCCATCAAGAAGCTAAACGCTTACATAATACGTTGAAGAACTATAATTTGAGTGATCATCACTTGAAATGAAAGCTATATCTCTTACATAATGTTTGGATAATTATGTAACATTCTTATTAGGTGAATATTGATATTTAACATTTAATCAGGTACTATTGTTCAGGTTAAGATAATGAATTTAATGAGTGTGTATTGATTCTCGAAATCCCACTTCCTACCATTTATTTGAATTGAATAATTGAGTCCCACAAACATTAGTGAAAATATTTTAGCTACTCATTAGTAGTGTTTTACCTAAATATAAAATATATTAGATTGGAGTCTATACACAGAATTGTCATTACTGTTGACTTAGTTGATTCATTAATTTGTACGAAACCAAGTGAATTAATTGACTTTCATCATGTAAGGAAACATTGTTGTTAACCGGCTTTAGATAGGTCAGAAATTTGATTACCTTTAAATTCCAGATTCATTTTTTGAGATGTAATTACCGGACTCCTTGATCTGACTTCTTTTCATGTTGTTCTCTATGAATCGGTTTGGATAGCAGTTTTTAGCCTAAGTTTTTTCCCAGAGTATTATTATTCATTATACTATTAGAAAACCGAAAATTATCATGAAAAGAATATTTAAATACTTGTCTACTATCAGCTTCCAATTTTTCAGCTACCTATTTTGGGGATTCAGTGGTAGGGCAAACTAGATATATCTAAAATAGGTCTTAACGTTAACCAAGGTTTATATACCTTTTATAATTCAAATAAACGCGGAATGATCGAATCCATTAGCCATATGTTATGCCATAAGTCTGGGTTTATTATCCCTTTCTTCTTCAGATTTTTAATAACATTAGTTAACTGAGATTTTTTTCGATTTGTGCTGTTTTATCTTCTCATTATGGTTTGTAAACTTGGAAACATCCTCTCGAATTAACAGCATCTTGTTTAAAGAATACTGGTTACCAAGGAATATCACACTAGATTCATTTTCGCTTTCACTAAAGATTGAGTTATTATTTCTTGTCAGGATTAGTAGCTGATCTATATAATTTTTGATTGATAAGTCATTATGACTAAATTGTGTAGTGATGTATACATGACAGCAATCAAGTACCATGGTTATGAAATGCTAAAATCCTTGTGATGTTGGATTGAAATCATGAGTTTGATTTACGTATGAAGTCTACTGGTTTTAACAGGATTTCGGACTTAATGATAAGGCTTGCATTTGAATCTATGAAAGTGTGATTGAACAATGATAAAATACATATTTTCATCGGGTTTTCAGGAAACCATTTATTACCATCTACTAATTTACGTGTTTCCAAGTATTTAAATTTAGCTTTGTGTGATTGTTTTTTAGTGACAAATAAACAGAATGCTTTATCTGACGAAAATTCATTTGGTGAATGGCGTCTCAGAGATAGCATCGATACAATTAAGTGTATGAAGTTTGATGGTTTCGTCATTGAGATAAATATGATTTGTTCTCCGAGCTGAATTTGCTCTGATGATGTCGTTCAGAAAAATGACGAAAGCTCCATGACGAAACCATCCTGCTCCACAAAAACACCCAATCTAATAATTATTATTATCATGTGCTCACTAGTAGTGACTGAATTCAACAGGTAGTTCCTGGAGTTCCAGTGAAAATTCGTGGACAGTGGATTCCAGCTTTGTCTGTTGTAAGATAGTAAGTCACTGAAAACAATGGTGGACGGTCGCGCAATTTCGTGGATTGGTTAAAGTTAGACATTAACACTGTTCGATGCCGACTCAGAGGTTAAGCGTCCACGGACGGGACCGAAGATTTTGGGTTCGAGTGTTGTGTGCGGCATGGTGGTTGAGCACTGTTGAGGAGTCCCATACAAAGACGAAACGGTCGTCCAGTGCTTCCAGGTCTAGCTTAGGTTGACTCACGAATTCAACTATTAAACAGAATTTTTATCGGCATTATTTGATGGTCTGTGATTGTGAATGATGTAGAGAAAATTTGAAAATACATACGAATGACTATTAAACTTAAAATTCATTTAATCAACTGCAGTAAAGAATTCTGAATATCATATCTTGATAAGTAGAGTAGTATAACTAATCCATACACATAAAGGATTGTCTACATTTGAGAAATGACAATATGGATTCACACATACAGAGTTATAGTTGAAAATTACCCTCCATATTCTGTTTCAACTAATTATGAAGGAATTTAATGGATGTTCGTATGTTACTGAACTCAATTAAGTTCACTGTGACAGTATAACATTCATAAGCAACAATTAGATCGTCAATAAGATTTTTGTCATCATCAGTAATTAACATTATGCTAGGACAGATATTATAATTTGCCAATTGATTTAATGTTGTGTTTACCGTTTCTAATCACATTTCCATTTAGTACTTAGGATTACTGTCAATTTGTACATTTATTTTGTGTTGTTTGTTTGATGTTTAGGACTGAAATTGATCAGTCTCTTATTGGTATATGTACATCTTGCCTCGATATTACCTTAGTTCAAAAGCATTATAAGTTTGGATAAATGGTGGCTATCAATGGGATCCACTTTGATGAGCATTTCGTCCTATTCGGGGCTCATCAACAGGACGTACCTGCATCCCAGAGTTGATATTCACTCCATAACTGATATCTTGTGTTTCTTTTGATACTTTAATTCATACTATTATTGGTTGGTTTTACCTTATAAAAGTGACCTAAGCCGTATTCATATTTTGTTCAGTTAAGCAATAAAGTACTTCTGTTTTCGTTTTATTATCTGTCCTGTCAGTTCTAACTTAGTATTAACTACTCATAAACTTTTATTAGGACTAATGAATCAATTTATTCATTTCAAATGTTTTTGCATAGGTATCATTCTAATTTAAAAACATTTGCAACACTCTTGTTCGTATATTTGGTTATAAGTGGAGTAAATATCGTTTCATTGTGTTTTATAAATGAATTCAATTACTTAATGTTGATTATGCTGAATGTATTCAATATTGATTTATGTTATAACTTGTGACCGCCGATTAGGGAGCAGTGAATTATCGAACGGACCAATGACGCATAAAACCCATACGAGCAGTTTAGAGTACTTATCGGTCCTGCTTATCGCCTAGTCCTGTCTGTTAAGTCCAGAACACTAATCTCAGCCTCTGCAATATGAATCATTTATTTCAAACATACTGGATTTATATACCAACCCGACAGACCACATTGTATCATAAAATAGGAAACAACATTTGTAAAAGATTCGGCCAAATGTGGCTGTGAGTGTGGGAGGTAGTAATTAATAGAAAGAGCTTAATTCAAGAATGATAAATCGAATAATAGTAGTTCGTAGATCAACATAAAGTTCATAATAACAGGAACATGAATATGTATAGTTTAGTTATGTAACAATTATGTGATAAAAATATATGCATAATATTGATCCATAAATGGATCCCAAAACTTACCATTCATTATTCTTATCGAAGCATAACAATTAACTTGATGTAAACACAGTTACAATTGTTCATCTGTTCGAATAAAGAAATAACATAAAATATGAAATGTTATAATATCACAAGTGTTTTCGTACTGTTTAGTATTTGCTGGATAAAATGGTTGATCTAATATTCTTTACTTTTTCACTTGGCCATGCCAAAATCATATAAAACGTACTTACTAAAAGGAATTAATATTCCTAACAAAGTTTTCTTAATAGCTGTTTACAATATGGAATACAATAATCCATATGTTTCATTGAAGTGTTAGTGAATAATACACAAAATTTAGTTACAAATCTCAACTTGTGAGGTGTCTGAGAAGTTTAAACGCGTCCTTCAAGTATGAAATAAAAAGGCTTCCTGTAACAGTGACATAAAGAATAATTACAACATACGATAGTACAAAGGACAGCTGATAGCTGTGTCTAAATTTGATAACAATTTATGAACATATGCTCACTGGTGACTGGCTTCAAGAGGTATATCCTGGAGTTCTAGTGAGAAGTAGTGACCAGTGGAGTTCAACCAGGTCTGTTGTGGGATAGTAACTCACTGAAGACAACGGTGGATGTGTCGCTCAATTTCGTGGATTAGTTGAAGTTAGACATTAACATCATTGGGTGCCGGCTCAGTGGTCTGGTGGTTAAGAGCTCGCGCGCGAGACTAACTGGTTCTGGGTTCGAATCTCGCGAGGCCGGACCATGGATACACACTGCTGAGGAGTCCCATAATAGGACGAAACAGCCGTCCAGTGCTTCTAGGTTTTCCATGGTGGTCTAGCTTCAACTGACTCATGATCTTAATCATTGAAATTTATGAACAACCGAAACCCGAACCAAGAGCAAAACAATATGGAAACTGTTGCGTTTAAACAAATGCACGAAACTGTGGATAAACGTTACAGTGATTAAGGTACAGTAATTATAATGATAAATACAATGATAAGTACAATAAATGTTGTATGTTAACTTTTCAGAATATTATACTACAACTTGCGTTACGATAAGTTTAA